GCTCGGGGAGGCCCCTGAGCACATCCCCTCGGCTGGAGCTGCTGGGTCTTGAGCTTCCAATGGGAACTGTCCCAGTGGGTACGTTTGAGGGGCAGCCCCAGCGCCGAGTGGGGATTGAGCCGCCGGGAAGGGCTCTTGATGTAGTGGGGTGGTGTGGCATGGGGGCTCTTTTGGTGGAGTCTGGGGCCGGACAGTGCTGGACTGGTTCTCCTGTCCGATCGGGGGGGGCCGGGGGAGGATGGGGGGGGGGGGGGGGTTGTGCTCGCACGGGAGGGAGCAGGGACACAGGCTTGGTCAAAGCATTTTCCTAAAATCAGGCCGGTGTTTGTAAGGAGGACAATCACAAGGTCTGTTTACTGCTGCCAAGATGAATTAGCCCATCGTCTCATTTATAGGACGAATCCGGTGGCACAGACTATAAGGTGCATGGCATTAAAGGGGCTAATTAGACAATTCCGGCAAATCTGAATTAAGACCCTTTTCTTTCTTTGAAAGCTGGAAAGCATTTCTCAGGACTCCAGTCAGATGGCTTAGGTTTTGTTGGGCTTTTTCTTTCTGTTCTGAGAAGGGATATCTTGTGCAATTCCCTAACCCGCGAGGGTCTGCTCTAAATTCTGCTCTGAGCTTCAAGAACAGTTGTTAGGAAGCTGCTGGCATTGACATCATATCTCAAAAAGGTCCAAACCCAAATTCCGGATTCTGCAGGAATTCAGCTCCCAGTCCAGGGACAAACTTTGCAGCTGGTCCCTCCTGTTACAGCGGGCTAAACCAGAAGCCCACATGTGAACATACCTGAGGTAAGAGCCTACAGCTGAATTCTCACTCGCACACAGAAAACAATCCAGGTTTTTCAAAAGCTGGCTTCTAATCTGACACCCACCACCCCACCCCCCCCTCCAAATACAGCGTCTGTAGCCAAATGCTTTTCCCAAGCAACTCCCTGCTTTCTGGAGCCATGGTTCACTAAGCTTGTGAACGCTGGGAAGGAATGTATCAATGAAACTCCAGAGATGATCAAAGACAGAAGCTGGAGAACAGGAGAACTTACTTTCAGTTCCCTGTTTGGCAAGTTTAGGATTCAGTTCTCTGAAATCTGGCAACATTTTACGCCGATCGTGACAAAACCGAAACGCCGCAAACACCTCCGAAGCAATGGTGCACGCTGTTTGCACACAACCACTGTATTACAGTGGTCACTATTAAATGGTTTACAAGCAGTTAAGGTTACCATGGTAGTCACAGTATAGGAAGAGAAGGGAATACCATGAAAATCACAGAAACATTCAGCACTACAAGCTGCAAATATCAGATGTTTCACAGTAATTAGTGACACTTTTTAAAGCTTCTCTCTTTTTTACATCTATATCCATTACTAACCAACAAGTAAGAGACACTCAGAAATTGCAGTGTGTATAGTAGCTGATCAATTACACAAACAACCCCTATTTTGATTTTTCTCTTCTAAATAGTCTCTGGGACCCAGTTAGTCTTGTCCCAATGGGCAGCACTTGATACACTGTAAAGGGAATTCAGAACAAGAGGCATTTCAAGGCTTCTAACACAGCTCCATTCTCCCAAAATATAAAAAAATACCAGTGTGCAGAATACTCCATCTAGGGGCAGAAATGTAACCCAAAATTTCCTTAGCCTCTGCTTTGACATGTGTTAACCTCATTCTACCAGGACTGAGTGCCTGAGAAATAATCAGACATTTCACAGAGGTTCCAAATAGTTCTTCCTCAGTACGAGTCCATAGATTTCTTACTTTTTATTATTTTAAATACAGAGCTTCCAGCTTGAGTTTCCGCCTAGCAGTGATGAAGAACCCAGGCACTACTTTTACGCGTCTACTAGCAACTGGATTATACTTTAAGCTGCAAATATTACCTCAGGAACAATTTATAATCCATCATATCCATATGCTCAAAGTTTTTAGCTGAATAAGGGTGGCCAGTGAGCTAAACTGCAAAGAATAATTAAATGCCTGAAGGGCTATTTAGGTAGCTATATTTTTGGATATAATTAAGCTTCTACTGAAGTCAAAGCAAGGTCTGAATTTGACTTCAGGGGGGAAGAGGCGTGCTTCTGCATAAGAAATTATCTCTGTAGCTGGATAATTTAGTATCATTTGTGCTTAATATTAGCACTTAGGATTTGTTCATCAAGTGTACTTGAGAGCAATGTAGACAGAAGCAACAAATTCGCAGATCAGAAAAAAAAACAACTGAAGAGCTGTAATAATGCCCATTAACAGTTTTTTCTCCTTAGGGAAAATAAAATAAATAACTACAGCGAGTATATCAAGGCCTTCCCTCTAATAATATGGTTTCTTTATACAAATGGCTTTCAGCTGATAAGTCTGCACTAATTTTCCTTAGTAAGCAATGGGTTACAGCTTGTCCATAAAGCTCCAGCTTTGCGCTGTGCCTTGCTCTTTGTCTCTCTGATAGAGAGTGGCTGCCTCCGAGGCTGGTGTAACGCTTTTGAGAGTAATCAAATTACTTCCTACATTTGCTCTCCTTAAACACCTCTGTGTGATCACCTCCATTCTTCCCCTTCAGCCTCCCAGCCGCGAACTTCGTTACTTCCCAAACGCCAAGGTTAGAATTTTCTAGACGCCGCTTCAATTTTTCAAATAGCAATCCAATTACTGAGCAAATTGGCACATGTGCCTGGTTACATAGTGACTTGGCACTGCCTCCCCTCCTGGCTGGCAGTGATGAATGCTCTCCCCCTTCGCCCTCCTCGTCTATCTGCTCCAGCCTCCGCGCCAACACCAGTGACCACATAAGGAGAGTGCCTGGCAGCTGCGGGCCCGAGGTGCCAAGAGGCAGATTGTGTTCTGTAGCAGCAGGATCTGGGCCTGCGACTGGCTTCCTGGCTAGTCTTTTGTAAGACCTTTTCCATGGCCTCTAGGTTGGCTCTAATGAAGCCTGTAGAAAATGCCTGCAGGGAGCTGGTATAGAAGGGAGTTAAGTCAAAGGTTTAATTTAGTCTCTAAAGTGAAGTGAATGTATATTGGCCTTCTTTTTTCCACCCTGCAATTATACTCCTGCCACATTTATGAGAAAATACAGTATTCACTCAACAATAGGAGTGCATTCCCGGGTATGTCTGCAGCGCACATTGGGGCAAAGATCCCCAAGCCAGCCTCAATTAACTTAGCTGCAGAACCAGAAGCAATATAGCTGTGTTTGCTCGCTGTGACACCCGAGCTAATTAACTATGTATGGCAGTAACAGAGCTTTACTGTTTCTGGCACCGAAGCCAGTATCCCTGTGTGGTAATCTGCCGCAGACATGCCAGCTCACTTGGAGGTAACCTGAGGGCTCCCTAAGCCAACGTTGCCTTGCACTGCAGAGAGACTTTCAGGAACACCCCAGGAACTGGCAGGAATTTGTTGACCTCTTTACATCGTGTGAGAGTGGTGAGGCTACAGATGTGGTTGCACTAAATCTGGACTGTTCTTCTTCCATCCCATTCACATTCTTTTATTACACACAACGCGATGGTTACAGAGCAGCTTTAAGTAATGTGTTAAGCATCTTGAGCAGCATCTGTCACATGTGGTGCTTTCTAAATTTCTCACTTCCTCCTCCAGGGGCAAAAAAGCTGGACAAAGATATTTTAAAGTATTTCTCCAACTTGCATTTTGTGTATTTTTTTTTTCTTAAAGGAAATTTGGGTCTTAGCCCATAAGTGAACTGACTACTTAGAAAGCCACTTGCAATTATTCCAATGCAGCAGATAAGGACTTTCTAACAACAGGATATTTTTTCCCCCCATCTGCATTATTTATGATCTCGAAGAAATTAACTTTCTTAAAATAAATGAGTACAGGTACCAAAGACCAGAGATGCACTATGATCCCAGTAACACAAACTGGCTTTGGCAAAGGTAACAACAAAACATAACAACTTGCCAGCTATTCCTTTTTTGGAACCCCACCTCAGACATACCAAGAAGCTACTGGAGAGAATCAGAGTTATTTGTCCAGCAGCTTTCTGATGCAGATGGTAGTCTGGAAAAATATCCAAGTGGACTCTGAACTGCACACACCGGAATATTTTGCCGAGTTCGCTTGCTTGGACTTTACTTTTGAGTACAGTTGTTTGTTACAGATGGATTTTTTCCTATTTTAAAATCTTTTTTAAACCAGGTATGTTGACAGAAGTACTTAACGAGATCTCTAAGCTTTGACTATTACATAATATTTAATTAAATTCTCCTTTTCTCCTTATTTATAATTTCAGAGCATTAGTAGCTGAGATGCCTTTACCAACGTTCATCTTGCTTGACATCCACAGGTAGATAGAAAACCTAAGGTCTTCTATTGACTTCCTAGATAGCAAAGCTGAGTTGTAATTCCAAAAATCACCATAAGGCCCTGAGGACTTTCTCTTCAAATCTTATCACCCCAAACCCTCAATACTGACTTTTGCACAAGGCAGAAAATGCGATGATAAATTTTAAACACACATAAATCTCATGCTATCAATCAGTGCAAACAAATATGACTGAGATGCAGCAATGAGGACTTTCAGTGTGATATATGCCATTTTCCCACAATGGTCTCTGCCTCTGCTCCAATTTTGCATGGGTTGCTTGAGGAGCCATTTTCAACAAATAACACTAAATTCTACACAGACTGTACTAGTAATATATTTAAAATAGTGATTTAAAATTCTACACAGACTGTACTAGTAATATATTTTAAAATAGTGATTTAATACAATGGGGGCTTTTATGGACAATCTCATAGTAAACCTACTAATCTAATTTGTAAGAATGGGTCGGTCCATCAGAGCCTAATGAACTGCCCTGGTGATTGCAGTGCTTTGGACAAACACCTTCAGAAAAGCAAACAACATTTTGATAAACAGATTCTTAGACTATGTTCAAGAGACCCCTGGGAATCCTCGGACTGATTCTAAGGCACCAGGAAAGGTAAAGCACACGCAGTATTGCTAGGCTTCATAACATTATTCAGGAGTTTGTACCTCTGTTACAGTGATGCTCAAATGAAGGATAAAAACCTCAGAGCTGTAGATGACGTGTTGTCCTATTGTCACCTCCAATACCTTCTACAGGAGCAGCAGGAAACTGAGGTGGAAATTGGACTTGTACTCCCGGCTGCAGGCCTGTAGGACACAAGGAAGAGTTAGTTATCCAGAAGGGCACATAAGCATGTGCTTAACACTAGGCATGTGAATGCCCCAAACGCATAAAAGCTCACATGCCAAAGTTAGCAACATTGCTGTAGCCAAGCTGTGCTGAGAGTTAAGCATGCACTTAAGAGCTTTGCTGGACGGCAGCCATTTACAGATGTACAATCGGTACAGAGACATGTAGGCAGAGACTTCCTTTATTGGGTCCACAGAATTCTCTTCTTGAAGATACACACTTGGTTATTTCTAGTAACATATTTATAAACCCAGATACTCCTCTTCTGATTACATCTCAGACACTAGCACATGCATCACTTTGCCTGGAGTCCTGTGTTTAGCACACTTATTAAAATTTGGGGCCAGATGAACAATTCAAAAATCAAATGCAAAAAACAGGTGGAACCTGATAATACAGAACTCTCCCAATTCCTGTTCTCTTGCTTCATTCTTGATTTGTCTGCTTTGAAGATGCTCATAGATGCTTGTCTGCATGTAGTAACAGCAGCTTGATGAATAAGAGAAGAGAAAGTGGAAGAAAAACAATAGGAAAGGCATTAAAAGGCACTAAGTTGTTCTTTCTGGGATAGGCATCAGACATATGCTCCCTACTCCAGTCACACTGCAATCAAAGCTGTCCTGTGCCACTGCCAAAAACTGCAACAGGTGCCAAAAGAACTCCCCATTGGTTAAATCCAGTCCTAAGGCACCAGCTCAGGGACTGATCCAAATCCCAGAGGCCAAAGAACATCTTTCCCCAGATGTCAATTGTTTTCAACTAGTTCCCTCTTATTTCCAGTGTGATACTGGGGATGGGGGGGGGGCGGGGGGGAAACAAATAAATTCAGCTGCCAGAAGGCAATCCTCTAATTTTGCCACTGCAAGGCTGGACAGATGCCAAAGCTCCGCACAGCCTCTCAAACACATTTGTAAGGTAATTAATATTTTATATTCACAACAATAAGAGACCTTCATTCACGAGGCAGTAGGAAGACAAGTTTCTGGTTCCATTCTCCCCCAGCACGTTACAATGACAGCTCCGTGCCAGCAGCGATTACAGCATTGGTTAAATCCAGTCCTAAGGCACCAGCTCAGGGACTGATCCAAATCCCAGAGGCCAAAGAACATCTTTCCCCAGATGTCAATTGTTTTCAACTAGTTCCCTCTTATTTCCAGTGTGATACTGGGGATGGGGGGGGGGCGGGGGGGAAACAAATAAATTCAGCTGCCAGAAGGCAATCCTCTAATTTTGCCACTGCAAGGCTGGACAGATGCCAAAGCTCCGCACAGCCTCTCAAACACATTTGTAAGGTAATTAATATTTTATATTCACAACAATAAGAGACCTTCATTCACGAGGCAGTAGGAAGACAAGTTTCTGGTTCCATTCTCCCCCAGCACGTTACAATGACAGCTCCGTGCCAGCAGCAGCCACATGGCCTAAAGGTGCCAAGCTGGCAAGGATAGTCCCTCTCAGCATTTGGCATCCAAACCCTTTGGCAAACCCCTCGGCAGTTGTGCTTGGCTGCTTTCGGATCCGTCATGTGGTCGGGCTGCTGATAGCAGAGGAGGGTGCCGCGTCCTCCGGGCACCGTTTCACTTTAACACCTGTCTGATCCGGAGGAATGCACGCACATGGAGAGTGAGATCCCCACACAAATCCTCCCCGGGACCCAGAGCACATGCTCCATTTGTTCCTGAAAGGGGGTCGTTTCCTCAGACCCACAAGTGCGCTTTTCCCCCCCCTCCCCTCCCCTCCCTCCTCCTCCTCCTCCTCTTCCCCTTCGCATATCTGTGTACAGCCCTTAGAGGGTCCTACATCCTGCCATGCATTCCACATGTGTTGGAGGTTTGCTCTGTGAACCAGGAATAAAAAACATAGCCTTTTTTGTGTATAATGAAATCTCATATTTTACTGGGCTCATATAAAGCCATTTCTTTGTGAATAAGACTTTTTTTTTTTTTTATTTGTGACATTTTAACGACCTACAAATGTTTGGTATAGATGAAAGGAAATGATTATTTCCAGGTCACCTTGCAGTAATACTTTTTGATAGGCACCATAATTCCAATTAAATTGAGTAATAAGGAAGGGGGGGAAACGCTTCAAACACTTAAAGTGCCACTGAAGCAGAAATGTTTTAAGAGAAAAAAACCTAAAAACAAGCATACATCATTTACCGCAAGCCACAAAATATCAGAGAGGGGAATAGATAAGAAAATTCAAAGCCCTTTTTCCACTGGGACATCCTGCCATGCATTCCACATGTGTTGGAGGTTTGCTCTGTGAACCAGGAATAAAAAACATAGCCTTTTTTGTGTATAATGAAATCTCATATTTTACTGGGCTCATATAAAGCCATTTCTTTGTGAATAAGACTTTTTTTTTTTTTTATTTGTGACATTTTAACGACCTACAAATGTTTGGTATAGATGAAAGGAAATGATTATTTCCAGGTCACCTTGCAGTAATACTTTTTGATAGGCACCATAATTCCAATTAAATTGAGTAATAAGGAAGGGGGGGAAACGCTTCAAACACTTAAAGTGCCACTGAAGCAGAAATGTTTTAAGAGAAAAAAACCTAAAAACAAGCATACATCATTTACCGCAAGCCACAAAATATCAGAGAGGGGAATAGACTACTCAAAAACATGCAGCTCTTACGACATGCAGACTGTAAGAACAGAACTCTGCCCCAGAAACACCACGTATTGTCGTAGTGAATAAGAAAAGTTTTTATGTCATGGGATTGGGTCTGACTTGGGCTACGAATTCAGTGAAATAATCCCAAATCTGGTACCTCAGAGCCCCTCAACTCCTCCAGCAGAGGTGCCAGAGGTGTGCAGAGAAGCGTGTTGAGACTTTGCACAGCACCTCTCCAAAGCTGTGCCTGTCGGAAAGCACTCCATCCCTCCTCCCGTGTGCATGAGCAGCCTGCACTGATTCATCCAGTACATTCTGACACTTTTGAGCGCGGTTATCTTTGGATCAGACACTCTCTAAAGCCTGTGAAATAAATGCAAGTCTTTGGTTGCTAAGCTCAGGGTCACAAAATAACCGCTATCGCTCGGTCTAGCGGGAAAGGCTCCGTGTACCCATTTCACCCCAACTGGAACGTACAAATAAAAGCCAGGACTCCTGTGTTCTACTTCAAACCATACCATTTCCCTGTCACGTTGTTACCGTGATTTTTGTTTTGCCTCAAGGTTATGGCCCAGAGACACCAGCCAAGGCCTCCCCCGTGCCAGGCAGAGCACAAGCACAGAACACACACCCTGCTCACTGCACGTAATCCTGCATCTATCACTATTCCTCTGTTTAGCCATCTGATTTCTTTTTTAAATAAAGTTTTAAAAAAAGCAAACAAAACTCCAAACAAAATAACTACTGTTTTGACATCCTCATACTCAAAGTAAAACAAGCTTAAATATGACATCGCAATCGGAAGATCACGGAGACTGCCCACGTATAAAATAACTTTAAAGTTACTTGGACATAAGATGGGATAAAGCATTTACAAAATGACTCTTCTCATGTCCCACTCCAGCATCAGGTAGGCAACTTATTTTGAGGGAGCTGGCTTTGCTTTTGCTTTATTGGTTGGGTTTTTTTTCCCTTCTTGACCAGTTCTGCAATATTTATTAGAAAAAAAAACACGTTCTCTCCCTCCCCGCCCCAAAACACATGCTTTCTTTAGAACACCAGGGCGACATACAGGATGGACACCGGGACCATGACAAATTTAAGATACAGCATCTCGGAGGCTTTCCTGGCCACAAGCCAAACTTTTCTGGAATGCAAAAAGCTTTTCAATAAGGCATTTTCAGTAACAAATTTAGTATTTAACCATTGGGAGAGAAGGAAACATCCCCACTTAAAATCGTTATTCAGTTACATATGAGAATGTTATTATTTTAGATAAGTTTTAGGAGTTTCTGTAATTACATTATTTTCCATTCTCTTTTCTCTGTGACCTGGGCAATTGATTTCCATTGTGATTAAAGCACCTGGCTTTTGGAGCAAGGGAGATGAAAAGTAAGCACCAAATAAACATAAAACTCTCTAGCAACATTCCTGGAATAGTTTTTCTGTAAAGTACATGGCATGTTCAGAACACATGATTTTGTAGTACAAAGATTTTATTGGCTTCACTGCTCGGTGTGGTCATCTCAGATCCATGCCAAATAAACCTACCGCACCGTATCGTCATTTATTTTCCATCCCTGTGTACACGTATACTCTTTCTAAAAAGAAAGATCCTAATTCCTCCCCAAATTCACAAGCTGACTGCGTGTTATATTATCTTCCCTTGAAAATGATAACCCAAGAGCAGGGCGCTGTCTGTTACTCTTGGCAACTAAAGCAGGAACAAGTAAGTACAGGACTTGAGAAGAGCCAACAAAAGAACAACAGGCGTGGAGGAGGGTTGGCCTCTGACAGGTTCCTTCCACCTCCTTTCTGCAGTGACCTGGTGTTTGGTACCAAGAGCAGACTTGTTCTCACCCGAGTTTCAGTTGGACTGAGCCCTGGAACGAAGGCACCAAACAGCACAGCGTATACACGAGTTATGCAGAAAACCAAGGAAAGACAAGAAATTTAATGTCAAAGTCAGAAAAGCCTCCAGTTTCAATCACATACACGTAAACCTTCTACATGAATAGACCTTGTCGGATGTTTCCTTATCATAAGACACTTCCCCTTATTAACATGACTAAACAAACGCAACTTACCCAAATCAAATCCTGACCATTTCCCCATTTTAAACTTAATGAATTTTCTCAGGTTTATGCAATTTTTCAGCATGCAATCTGAAGTCGAGAGCTTCTTCATGAGAACATGCCTGATGGGGGATTTTATTTTTTCTTTTTTTAGAACAGTTATTGTGCCATGACACAAGGGTAGAACACTGTTTTAAAGGGCTGCTGACTCCGGACAATTTATATGCTAATTTCAGAAATGATTCCTCCTACATTAAATAAGGAGCTAAGGAAT